TGTATGAACCTTTGACATCAACTCGTATCTTATCCAGTCCCTTTTTACTAAGAAGTGGTATTCTCCGTGTTTGTGACTCCTAAGATGTTCTACATTTCTACTTAAAAACATTTTGTTTTCATGATCGTAAACTTGTTTTATGTGTAACAAACAGGTTCTGAGATGCAGTAAAATAACAGCTGTGAAGGTTGCAGAAATAACAGAACTAATACAAAAAGCCTTGGAGAACGACCAGAAAGTTAGGTGAGTGTTTTGGGAAGGATTAGAACTTTGAAGAAACATACAAAACAGTGATATTAACCTGTAGTTTGAAAAGCAAGTTGTTTTCACTTGTATTTGTTTTAAATTTCAAATGTTTGTATATCTAAACTTGAAAAGAGAAAGCATTTTTACCTATGAAAGATCCTGCAACAGTGTCTGTCCCTGAATGCCTAGGAAGGAAGGTGGGAAATTTGGCTTTGCAGAATCTATACCAAATCAAAAGATCACAGCCTTCAAAATGGAGAGTGCTGCTGTGGACACCAACAACGTGGAAGAACAAGCAGGAGAAATCATCACTAAAGCTGACCCTCCTTCAGAGGTGTATCTTTTCTGTTGTATTACTCAGGGGAAAACCAGGCTTTGCATTAGCACCCCTAGAAGCTAAAAACACATCCAGGAATTCCTCACAGCTTAGGTAGCCTATAGCCTTCAGAGGAAACATTAACTTCATATTGATGTGGGTTCTGATGGCTTTTAGATAACTTAATTCCTAGCATAAAGTGGAAACATGAGGTCTGAAGTGACTGACTTAGAGTAACTGGAGAAGTACTCTCTCATCTCCCCTTTGAGGATGTTCTTCCCCAGGGAGACAGATTCAGCTTAAAAAACTGGTTTGCTCTCAGAATACAAAGCTTACCAGCAAACACCCAAGATTTTTCTTAACTACTTCAGTTTTGCCAAACCAATATTGCACACTCCGGGGACAGCCCAAATTGGGGAAGGAATAGAGAACTCTTGGGGAGACCTGGAAGAATCTGAGAAAGAAGAAGCAGTGGAAGAGGAAGGTGAAAGTGAGACTACTGTGTTTGAATGTCATAAAATGGAAACAGAAACTGAGGGTACAAGTACAATGACGGAAGCTAAAAAAGGTAAGTATTTCTTTGTTACCATATGTGCTCATTATTTAATTTTATTAACAGCCTAGAATTAAAATTTGAAAGAGGACCTTAGCAACAAAGGACAACCATTGTAGCCACTTTCCACTTGAGTTACACCCATTTGTTACTTTCACTCCACCTGATGACTTGTTTTCTTTAAAGGAGAATGGAGGGCTCCAAATCACACGGTAGCCATTCTGAACGTTCCTTTAAAAATGCTGTCATTATTGGTTACAGAAGTTGGTTGTATAAGGCTCATCACCAGTTACTGGTTGGTGTTTTTGTGTATTTGTTTAGATGAACCTATTGTACTATCTGACAGTGAAGAGGAAGAAGTTGTCATTCTGGAGCCACAGGAACTACCAAAGAAAACCAGGTAACCATCATGTGAAATCAGGATGGGAAAGGAGTTTGTAAGGAGTATTGTCAGGAAGCACAGGATTTTGGTAAGGCCAAGGAAAGGTCTCAGTTGATAAAGGAGAGAGTGAGGAAGTTGAAATCTGGGCAAGTTTGCTCCCACCCTAGGAGGCCAGTCATCGTGGCTGACCCGCATATGTCCAGAAGTTACAGATACTGACTTATATTCCCTATTCGAAAGGGAGTGATGGCATAAAAGTGGATTTAAATTGGCTGCTAAAGCAATATTGCTGATATTCTACCCATTACAGTACAGCTAATATTAAAATTCAAATCCAAGCAATGAGATTTATTGCTGTACCCTGCACTGCTAGCCCTGGAAACCCTCACTGTGGAAAAACTCTTTCTAGAAACTGAACTTGGCATTGAGCATGGTGAATGGTTGCCCTGTTGTGGATGATCATCTGTGTTCTTTTGAAATGAAACTGTTGAGTACGTTTCTCTGATACAAATGCTGTTGCCTCACAGAACACAGACCAAGTCAAAGCAAGAAAATACAAGTAAGAAAGCATTTAATAAAAGGAGAAGAAAGAAGAGAGCTGCTTATTAAAGACATCATCCCTCCTTCAGAAATGCTGTATAAATAATGTAATGTGGTCTGTCATTACTGAAATTATTTTTGTAGATAATTTTATGTCCTTCCACCCCATATCTGCTCCTGCTTTTATGTACATTTTTTAAAACTCTTGTACACAGCTTTAAATAAAAATACTTGCATGTAAGTGAAATAAGCAGTGTAACTGCTTAGTATAAAAATCAACAGAAACACACACACACACTTTCATAGAACAGCAACTCGTACTTCAGCAATAGCCTTTCTTAAAAAGTTTAATTAAATATTACATGTGACAGACAGGAGTGCTGCTTGAACTGTATTCAGAGAATGCTGCCAAGTTTAGATTTGGGTGAAGCAAAGAGACAAGGTTTGCAAAATACCTGAGCCAGCTGCTTTCTTCCAAAAACAAAACAGGAAACATGCACATATTTACAAGAGCCAAGTAGGACTATTTTACATGTGGTCTTTGTATTTCATGAAATATGAGAAGTTGTCATTGCAGATACTTCATTCCCTAAATCAGGTTTAGAATTTAATGTAAAAATCATATATATTGCTCCCAGCCAAGAAAAGCTTTAATCGTGCTCTTTCAGAAAGGCACCAACACAGCAGGCCTGTTTCCTCCAGGAGCTAGGCCAGTGCATTTTGGTGTCAGTTGTTCCAAACCAAAGTCACCATCGCGAGCACAAGAATGAGTGAAGATTCAGTTTCTTCTTCCATGTTACCATGAGACAATCCGCTTTCAGAAATGCAACAGTACGCTTTGCACAGCTCTCTTCTGTCTTCACACATAACATACTCCACATTTGTTACAGGCTTTATTTTGAAAGGACCAGAAGTTAACCTGTATAGGCAGAACAGTATAGTACCACCTGGAATATTTTATTCAAAGCTTAGTAGTAAGACCTGGAATCATCCTCTGTTGTCAGAAAATGAGAAGATGGAAGAAGATGCAGCAGCAAGGGCTGTCAGTGAGGAAAGAGGAACATTGTCACTGGGCAGAGATGCCAACCCATGAATGCAGCATTTTGTTAGGCTGCAGAAGGAACAGCTCAGAGAGCAAGGCAGAAATTTTTCTCTGTGCTTTGGGAACAGTAACAAAACAACTTCAATTGAGAAAAGAGCACAGAGACATTTTACCAAGCAGTAAATTAATGCTATATGCCACTGAAGTCCTTTCACTTACGTATTGCTACTTGCTGTTTTCTGGGGGAAACAGTAAAGTCAGCTTTCTTTAAATTACCTCTCTTGCAATTGTGTTTCTCAGTGGTCTTGAGGACGTTTCCAGCATACTCCACAAATAAAGAGGGGAAAGGCAGATCCCAGTTTTTTCGGAAGAGTGCTGTGCTCTACTGTTTTCAAAAAATTCACCGTTTTGCCCTCCTAGAGTCACAAATTGATGCTGCAACTGCAGCAAACATGCTCCTGTAAACACAAACTCCCTCTCCTGCAAGTTTCCAGCATTTCCAATACTAAGTACCAGGCAGGATACACTGATTTTTTCACCCAACTTATTTTAGCTTTTTAGTGGCAACTTACTAAAATTAAGCTAAACAAAAGCTATTGGGCAACATGGCCAGCCAATTAAATACTGTTCTTCATTAAACATTAGAAGAAGTATAAAAGACAAAATGCATCCTAAAAAAACTCAGATTGGCCAAAAGCAGTAGCCTCTGCTGTGTGCTTTAGTCTTGACTCGCTCTGAGTGGGTTCATGGAGGGCTCAGACTGCAGAGCAGGGGTGAGGACAAAACAGCAAGTTTTTAATTAACTGGGTAGAGATGTGAGTTGTCTCACTATAAAGCTTATCAGCTTAACAGAAGGCTTACATTTTTTTAACGTAGCCCAGAGCATAACAGCTGTTCAACATCTGCAAAGAATTTACACTGATAGCAGCTGGCTGTCCAGATAACCAGTGTTGAAGCAACTTCAAGTAACACAGGTTGCACAGGGCAGCCCTTGCCAAAAAGCTTTGGGTGTGAATCCCAGCTTCAGATGGCAGTGCTACCCCTCAGTGATTTTGAGGTATTGGCAAGACCACTAACATCAGATGTAAAAATTGTTTATTGGCCAACCTGGAAATGGCTTAATTAACCTCAGTTCCACACGCTCACTGCTTTACATGCAAAGAAGAGCAGGTACAGGGCAGCATCACTGCCATTTACACAGGTCGAGGGTAAACATCCACTTGATCTAATGCCAATTATGTGCTAGTTTGCACCTGTAACAGTTTTAAAACTAAGGAAAAAAGACAAGCAGTTTGTCTATTTTGTGCAGTGTGCCACAGAGGAATCCTTTCCAAGCAAGAGGGATGTACAGAATTTGGAGCATTCTGCACGTGTCCCATCCATGCCAGAAGATATTCCCTCCTCTTGAGGGCACGAAGCAGTTGTTCTCCCTCCTGCAGTTTAATCCCTCGACTGCTCCTGAAGAGGTATGAGGTAAGCAGGCTGATAACTGTAGTTTTTAGGAAGTATTGATGAGCTTTTGGGACACCTAACACAGAGGGAACTCCACGGGTTTAAATTTGTATCTAGTTACACTTTGACTAGAAAATTACCTATAGCAAGACATTTTTCTACATACTGGAAGCAAAAATTAGGACCTGGTATGATAGTTTTAGCTGTGCAGTTCCTCCAGCAGAGTGTTCAGCCTTCCACCTGACGGAGATCTGGCAATACATCACAGAGCAATCAAGGCTTCCCATACACTAGCACATCCCAAAGAGCCTCGCAAGAGTCAGTTCCAGCCAGGTGCTCTCCTCATATAGTTTCTTCCAGTATTAGAGCCCTTAAACCATGTTCTAGACCTATACACTAAGTCTCCGTTTAAACTAGACAGTATAAAAACACTATGAATACTGCTGTGGAGTCCAAGTCATTCTTACTTGGAAGAAGAAAGAGCCCTACTATAATAATGCACTGCTAATATTAATGTTTAATCTATAATTAGATACGCAGTTTCAGACTTCACTTGGTCTGCATGGTTAATTCTGTGCTTGAAAAGAACATTTTAATAAAAACCCAGCTAAATATTTTAACAAGATTGCATGTACAAAAGATTTACATTAAAACCACATACAACTAACTTCATAATTAAGCTCATCAAAACCTGTATTAATATTCTGAGTGATCGCATCTAGGATTATGAACCAAGTTAAAAACTGTACATAATTTTCTTGCAATATACATCCATTTAAAAGATCAGTCTCTTGATTATTACAAAAAGTTTAGTGTCTCTGGTGGGTCAATAAGCGATACTCCATGGTACCTAGAGAGGGGAAAAAAAGATGCAGGATATCACCTTGTTCACATGCTTTCTGCTGCATATGACCTGCAGGAAAGCACATTTCCCACAAGGCACAGCCAGCAGGAAGCTTTCTGGGGCTTGTCAGCTGCCAACACAGATTTTTATGAGCATTAGGTACAATCTCCTGCCTACCAACTGTAATAACATCCAAAAACTCCCTCCAGTTTCTACCTGACAGTTCAAGCAGCAATCGCAGGCCTGGGGTGAACCACAGTATTGCTCAACAAAGCATTGTGGAAAAACCTGGGGAGTCTTGTCACCATTTCACTTACATGGTAGATGTGGTTAGTTGGGTCTGACTGAAGACTCAAGATACACCCCACCCCTTATGCAGTTCCATGCTAGAACAACTCAGGCCTAGCATCCCAGCTCATCACGCATCTCTGCAGATACTCACTTTGTACTCTTGTACTTTTCCCTGATGGACTGTTGCGTGTGCTGTGCTGCTTTGAGGTAGGTCTTATGTAGGTCCATGAGGCAAGGTTTGATATCTTCAAGGGTGTAGCCTGTTACTTTGCACAGGGATTCAGGCTGAAAGGAAAAAGGAAGAGGAACATTTGAGCATCTCTGTTCACTTATGCAGATGACTGCTGTGGAGGTTTTAGCTTCCTACTGAAACTCTCCTCTTCTAGTAGGTTGGCAGAGCCTCATGTTCTCAAGCACAAAGGAGTTTAATACTCTGCTCAGATTTTAGCAGTTCACATAGATTTAGTTATCCTGAAAACTACTATATTCTAAACAAGTATTCCTTGACTCCATAGAGCTTAGGCTTTCTTAATTCCCTTTCCTCATCACAAGGAAGCTTAGAGCTTTGTGAAGGATGACCAGAAGAGAGTGCATCAGTAGATGCTGTTTCCTTCCAAGAAAAGGTACCCCCCTAAATTTTTCAAATGCTACAGGGAGCAAGCCCTAATTAACAGCCTATGAGTGCAGAGGAGCCATGATCCCTGCAGCCCAATTCCCAGCATTCAGAGCTGTGTACCAGTACACTAAATGTGGATGAAGCTGGGTGAAGGCTCAAGTTCTAGTGCTACATACCCAAGTTTGTCCAGTGATGGTATAGTCTGCCAGATGAAACGCTGCGGCAGCAATAACTGATGGCAAGTACTTCAGGTAAGGGTCAGCATCAATTAGACTCAGCTCCCCAAGGTACTGCAAGGGAAACCAGAGAAAAGGAATCATCTGCATCCAAAAGGAAGTAGAAGAGCATTTAACAGTTGCACTATGGCCCTAATTTAAGCTCCCAATCCTGACACCAGCTGGAAGAACAGCTTTTATTTGCTTCCACTAACTCTTTTTAGCATCTGCTGTTAACTGCTGTCAAACAGTGTTTCAAACACATGCTTTTCCAACAACACATTTTACATTTAGAGATGTATAAGATCTAGAGGGAAGAGCATAGTCAGGCCTAACCTATGCACAATGAGACATAGGCTTCCATTTAGAAGCTCTGGTACCTGCCATACAGAAAGGATTTAATATAACTTCATCTGAAACATTACCTGTGCTGCGCTTTAGAAATTAGCCTCTAGATTTAGAGCTCACAGCTTATTGAGGGGGAAGCCAAAACAAAAGCCCTTTTTAGCTGAAGTGAGTGGGTAGCTGTGGCAGTTTTAGATTAGGAGGGAAACATCTAGCAGTGATACAAACCTCAAATTAAAGTTCACCAATCTCTGCCTGCTCTGAGTAAGCAAGCATGCTGGAGCCAGAGCAGGTGCCAGGAATCTCAAATAGTATCTCAGAGTAAGTGTCAGCGAGAGTGTTACTTTCCAGTGGTGTGGCACCACCGCCAGGGGAGCATGTGGCATAGTATACACACTCCCCAGAATTCTCCCAGAGACACTACGCATTTAACAGTGGGAGGAAACAGGGAAGACTGGACTGATGAATCCTTGAGCATTCTTTGCTACTGGGAATAGGAAACAGAGCTTGTAAAATGCATTAATAGTAATACAACTCTCTAGTTACACAGGCCAAGTTAGTAATTCTTTCTTACCAGTGATAAGCTCTCCACTTTAGCATTTGTCTGCTCATGTAGGAAATACTGAGTGAGGAACTGGTTGATTGTTGGAGCTGCCAAGTCAAAAGACAAAACCTTCAAAATTAAGTGCTCCATCCTTAGAACCTGCTTCTTGGTATAGGTGTCATCTGTGATGTAGACAAACTCTGCTACTTCAGGAGGGTAGATTTCTTCAAACTTTCTGCCAGGAGAAATAGTTATGAGCAAATGACTGGGTACTAGAGGACCAGATAACTGGGAACATTTAATGAATGCCAACATGCTATTTTAAATTCTGACTTGTTTCTTAAGAGCACTCAGATACTTCACAAGTTGCTGCACTTGGTTCAGTAGCTCTTGAATCAGCAGAATTTGAAATTACGGAGCTACAAGAGCCTGATATTTTAGCAGTAAGCAATTTGAGACTCTGAGTTCCCAAAATTCCAGAAGAACCAACTAATAATTGATGCAAGCAAAGCTTTTCACATCCCTTGTGCATATCCCCTCAAATGCCATTTAGAAGCCTTTTGCTACTGCAGCTAGAAATAATAAATCCTCACATTAGGTCCATCTACACTTTTTGGTGGATAACTCCTAATTTTTCTTCCACTGTGAAGCCCTCCTGAGGCAGTCTGACTACAGACAAGAGAAATGTGATAGCCACAAGATTTCCCTCTGTATGAGGCCAGCAGATGGGATTTTAAATGAAGCAATTTCACTTACGATGCAAGCAGCATAGCTGCAGTTCCCACAAGCTGAAGTTTTCCTCTCAAAACAGACATTGAAGAAAGAAACCTATCAATGTAATTTACAGCTAAGTGCAGGGTTTCATTCTGTAATTTGTATTCTTCTCCAACTTCCACCAGCCAGTCCACAAGAATAGCCCGCATGTTGTTTGTGATATCAGGTTGCTTCTTCATGTAACCTATTTTAGGCTTGCATTTCACCTGTAGGTTTAGATGACAAATAAGATGAAATTTGGAGTAAGTGCCAGTAGGAAAGCAGCTATTTAAACTCCCATTACCACAGTTTAAACAGATCAGAAGTAAACAATAGAAAGTCTAGCATCTGTAGGTTACATTTCCATAATCTTGCGTTCTGGCTCGTGTTCAGCACATGGCACAGTCACCTTTACCATAAGAAACTGGTCTTGTGTTCACAGTAGTGGAGACAGCATCTTATTTCTCCATTTCTAGCAAGTGTTACTTTAGTTACTATACTAGAAACTAGTGTTTAGATAGAGAAGAGAAAGCTCTGGGGACACCTTATAGCACCTTCCAGTACTTCAACTGGACTGCAGGAAAGCTGGGGAGGGGTTTTTCATTGGAGACGATAGTGACAGGACAAGGGGTAATGGTTTTAAACTGAAAGAGGGGAGATTTAGATTAGATATTAGGAATAAATTCTATAAGGGTGGAGAGGAACTGGAATAGGTTGCCCAGGGAGGTTGTTGATGCCCCATTCCTGGAGGTTTTTAGGGCCAGGTGGGATGAGGCTTTGTGCAACCTGGTCTAGTGGTAGGGCTCCCTGCTCATGGCAGGGGGGTTGGAACTTGATGATCTTTAAGGTCCCTTCCAACCTTAATGATTCTATGATTCTTTGATTTCTCAACTCCAAACTTCACCTCCATAAGCTGTATGCAAACAAGAAGAGAGCTCACCTCCATTTCCCTAAGGTACGTATGGATATCGCTGATGTAGTCTGGTACATTATTAACATTTGGTTTCTCTTCTGCTTCTGAGGTTATTGAAATGTCCATAATACTAGGAGAATCTAAGCAGGAGATAATAGCCATGTTAAAATGGGCACTGTTAGACCACATCCTTACAGCACAGGGGGTGCCCCCTCCCTGGAAGTTTTCAAAGCTCGGATGGGACTTGGAGCAGCCTGGTCTAGCAGGAGGTGTCCCTGCCTGCAGGGGGTTGGAACTAGATGATCCCTAAGCTCTCTTCCAACCCCAACCAGTCTGTGATTCCATGGGAGGAACCAAATCAGCTTCAGCTACTGGAAAAATACCTTCCAAGTCGAACCAAACCAATCTACACCCTAAACAGCTTCAGTATCTCCATTCCTCATCCAGTTTGCTCAGGAAATCACTCTCTCAGTAACACCTCGGCACAGCCCTGCTCAGCTCGGGGTTTCCTGGGGAAAGGGCCCTTCGAACCCATCTGCCAGCATAGGGTACTGGGAGCCCCCTCCCCGCGGGACCCCAGCCCGGCCGCGGGAAGGGTTTCCCGGGGGTGTCACCTACCGAAACTCAGCTCCATGGCGTTGCCCAGGGGGGCCAGCGGCCTCCTCTCCCCCAGGGCACAGACGGCCGCGCGCAGCCCCAGCGCCGTCTCCTCCTTCTGGGTGGCCGGGCTGTCCCGC